CGCACCCCTTCGCAGGTTGTTAAAGAAAGAAACAATCTGGGATTGGGATAGAGACTGTACGTCAGCCCTGAAGATGCTAAAGCGAGCCTTGATAGGGTACCCAGTCCTCAAGGTAGCCGATCCGTCCTTGCCTTTTGTTCTCTCTACTGACGCAAGTCGGTATGGTATAGGTGTTGTTTTACAGCAAGATGATGGCAATGGGTATAGACCCGTAGAGTTCATGTTTGCTAGGGTGCCTTCAGAGAAGGTAGCGATGCCGTACCAAATACCCTTACAAGGGTATTTGGCATGTTTTCTGCAAGTTACGTCAGCGCAGCCTCGCTCATCTGAGCGGCGTGCGCGGGGTATTGACGGCGAGGCGCCACCATGCGCAACCTAAGTGGGCGCGGCGTCACGGGCCAGAGGGACGTGCGGTGTCTATTCTTATTTTTTATTATTTATTTATTTATTAGCTTGGTGATTGGTGATCGATTTTGAGACCGCTGTTAGGACCAACGGGCCCGACTCAGTTGCTACGACGTTGGATATGGGTGGCCGTCACGGCAGTCGAGGGCCATGAGCATGCGCCCCTTCGGCGGGGCTGCTCGAGTGCCGGCGTGTTCGAGATGCTGGCAATTTTTTTTTTATCCTGCTCGTTGTTGAAAAACAGGGACCAAGGAATTCAACGTGCATGCGAGTCGGGGTGTCGTGAGAGGTTTCGAGTGTGAGCATGCCCACTGGCCCCGCGAGATGGTAAACTCACCTGCGACAGCAGGGGCACCAGGCAGAGGCCCGCAGCGGCACTGGCTGCAGCCACCGTTTCCACGGAACTCGCCCCCACTTCAGTCTTCAAATTTCCCATTTGAATATTTGCTACGACCACCACGATCTGTTGTGAGAGACTTGAGTGTGAGCATGCCCAGTCCCACTGGCTGCTGAGGGGAAGTTGGGGGTGAGCATGCCGTTGGGGCCCAAACAGTGGGAACTGAGTGTTGGGCACAATGGGCCAGGGGACAGCCGCATTGTGGCCCGGTTCATACGTGGGAGTACTTGTTGCTACCACCAGGATCTGCACTGGGATCCGGCTCACCAACTTGAAGGTCGCTACAGCCTTCGCAGCAACCCGCGCCCACCAGCTCGTTGCGGCCCCAAGACTGGCAGGTTCGACAGGGGAGTCACTGCTCACTCCTTAGCGGTCTCGATTTCCATGACCAGAGGCCTGTTTGCTTATGTTGTTCATTGCCCGCTGTGATGTTTGGGGTAGCGTGCTGTTAGCGCGGTCGGGAAGCAGGCACAGCGCTAGGATCAGGAGCGCAGCGCTATCATTGAGAAGGGGGGGGATGAACTTGGATGGGATTTGGCGCCAGGTGCATGCAGGGTGAGCAAGAAAACAGCGGCGAAGAGGAAATAGCTATGGCAGGAGTGAAAGCTATATAACCCGCTGGTTCCTTGAGAGCATCAGGCGCGGACATGTGGTAGGTAGGGATTTTGGGGTAGGGCGAATCCAAATTCAACGTTAGTTTTCGCTAAAAAGCAGTAAAAAAAAAAAAAGAGGAGGAAGAACAATGGTCTGCACGAAGCTATGGCAGAGAGGGAAGAAGATGGGGAGCAAAATGGAAATAACTCGGTCACTTCTTGACCGTTTTCTGCGAACAAAGATGCAGATCTAGGGATCTTGGACCAGGCGAGTTCAGTGGTAGCATTAGTTTTGGCAATGGATTAGTGTAGAAGGAGTTTAGTAGAAAAAGTCGTGCGCAGATGCATGCCAGGTTTCAAGTTTGACGATCGAAGGACAAAAATGCAGGCTGAGGGTTTAGGGTTTAAGGACAGACAGTTGACCTTCCAAAGGGAGGCAAAGAGGGTAGGGGGAGGAAGCAGGTTGGGTAAGGACAACAGATGAGCTCTTTCTAGGGTCAAAGACACTATCTGACAGATCTGGAATCCAGGTCTGAGAGGAAAGAGAGGAACAAGGCAAGCTGGCAGTCAATCCTCCCGCAGTGGAGCAATCAATGCTGACCAGCCCGACGGAAGGAAGCGTGCGTGAGCATTTATTGATGTATTGCTTTTCTCGACTTGCCGGTGGAATAGGAACCGGACTGACGCTCCCCAGAATAGAAGGAAAAAAAAAAAAAAAGTCGTGCGCGGGAGATGGCGGAAGCGAAAAAGAAGGGAAATGGCAAACGCATATCCTGCTTGTTTCCGGACGAAATCGGACGAGGGGGGATGCTAAAATCGTTAATTTGGGCGATGGTTTGGCCAGCATGAGTAACTAAAGCTGCGCCCAGGGAAAATAAAGTGAGATGATGTATCTGCCCATTTTCAGCGGCAGCTTCCTTCCTATTTCTATACGTGAGGAAAGTGGTTGAGACCCGTGCTTGAGATCCTGCTCGTATCTACCGACCATCTCCATCATCGAGCTGCTGCTTTGGAACTGTCGTGACTGTCTTCAAAGGGCATCTTGACTATTGTGGCCACTGAATCCGATGAACCTGGCCGGAATCTGAGGGAGGTGCATTTAGATGGAGAAATAACGGGAAATGTCAAAGTCTAAAGGGGTGAACAGAAACGAAGGATGACAAGAGAGAGAGAGAGAGAGAGAGAGAGAGAGAGAGAGAGAGAGAGAGAGAGATGAGGATGACAATGACGATGTGAGAGCACGTACCTGGTTCTGGCAATGGAGTACAAGGTCGATATCTTCATGCATTACGGTTGTTGTTGCTGCCGTCAAACGGGAGTCGTGGTCGACTCATAGGCAGCTAATAGCTGTGTAAATGTTGAAGTAAGAGAAGTAGAAGGGAGTAAGAGCTCTTACCTGATGTATGAATGGTCGTTAGTTCATCCTCCTGTTAACAGGACAGCACTAGCAACTAGGTGCATGACGAGGAGTTGTAGGCATAAGGGATTGAAGAAGAGTGTGACGAAAGCGAGAAAAAATGGACAGAGGGGAGGACTGATGAAAGTCCGGGAGATTTACCTGCAGATAACGACCTGGCTGTGAATACAGCTAGATGTGCAGGGCTTAGACAGAGGGGTGAACCCATCACGCCCAACTGTTGGACAGTCGACTGGTCTAAGCAGCACAGGGGGTCGGTGATGCTGTGTGACTGCTGGTCACTGGGCAAATTCACTACTGTAGTAGCTCTTGCTGCGCCATTGCTGTACGATAGAATGTGTTATTTCCGGCGATCTGCTACAGCGGCTGCTGTGTCTGCTACGGATTGTTGTACTTGCTGCACCTTCATTATGTATTGCGGCACAGGTTGCAAGGCACTGTTGTACTTCAGAATAGAAGCACGGGCATGTGCTCTATTCGAATTGAGGCACTGCTCTTTCTGTCAACAAGAGAAGCAAGGAAGCAGGCTACTGGACAGAAGGCTTACCTGTTTAACCTGTACACCGTCCTTTCGATCATCAGACTGAAGCAGCAAAGAAGTTGATCACGAGATTGGAGGTTTGCCTGAGCCGTGACCACCCCACCGACTGAAGTGGCGAGGAGGCGAACTGCAGAGTTGCAGACTTGCCTGGCACTCGCCCCATCAGTCGGCACAGGAACGGGCTACCTGCGAGGCTGCAGGCCTAGTCATTGGCCGGTGTGCTGATTCTCCCGTTGTATGAGGTGGCTGGAGGCAAGCCACGAGGTTGCAAACTCACTTATGACCATCGGGCTAGTCATCACGAGAACAACGGGGACTATCCACAGGACTTGGAGACTCGTACGCTGACTGGTGTGCTGCCTATCCAAGCAATCGAAGGGGAGAGGAGCGAGCTGCAGAATAGGAATTTACCTGCTGACTAGTGTGACACTTTTCCTATCAGCAGGAGCAGCGAGGAGGGAAGCTGCGAGGTTGGATACTTACCTGTTGACCGGCACGCTGCTCATCCTACTTGGTTGAAGCAGCAACAGGCCCGACGCAGGGCGCAGACTCAGCTGCTAGCTGGTGCGCTGCTCATCCTACCGGACGGGATAATTGGAGGTGAGTCGCAAGGTTGCGGATCTACCTGTGGCCAAGTACCCGTCAGGTCACAAGCTTCTGGAAGGGCCGAGATAATTGAAGGAGGATTTTTGCCGCTAGTGGGAGAGCCCCCAGGGAATCTATAGTTGATAGTCGGCTTCGGTTTGACCAGGCTGCGGCGCACTTTGGCCATCATTGCGGCGGCCCTTGATTGCTGCTGCTGCATGCTCGGCCGGCACACAGTTGCCATAGTAGCGAACTGTTATAGTAGCGTTACGATCCTGGTCATTTCCCAAGTGCAAATTCACAATGAAAGACAATGCAACCCAATTGCGAAAGAAATGAAAGCACTTGCAAAGAGATGAAGACCAGAGGAGAGAGAAAGAAGAAGAAGAAGAAGAAGAAGAAGAAGAAGAAGAAGAAGAAGAAGTACACCAGCAAGACCAATGACACTTCCCCCTTCTCTCTCCACCTTCCTCCTCCTCCTTCACTTCACCAATCTTATTCTTCCCTCAATAATAATAATAGCAATGAATGGATGAAACGAGGGCCTGCAGGCCCTACTCCGTTTCAGTCTATTTCTGGGTCTTTCGGACCCAGAGTTTTTCCAGCCTGAAACGGAGGGCCATTTTCAGGCCCTCGTCGTTTCGACCTGCCCCTAAGACTCAGGCACGTAAACAGGGATGCGGAACAAGCCAGAAATAGCCTGTTCCTCACGTGCTCGAGCAGGATCTGCAGCTGCAGCCCCTGCCTCCCTTCGGCATTGGCAAGAGCAGCCTCCTGAACTGCTTGCACGAGTCAGGAGGCACACCCGTGATAGTACATAGGGACTTCCCAGGCACTTCACGGGTAGGTAGTTCCGTAGGCACGAGGTAGTCTTCAGGATTTCGGCCGCAGCACTCAGGAGGAGCGCTGCAGTAGTCTTCAGCGCTAGGCAGTAGGTATTAGCGCTAGCTGTAGTCTTCGGCGCTGGGCGCCATAGCTGTAGCTGTAGTCTTCAGCGCTGGGCGCTGGTAGGTGGTAGATCGTAGAGTGGGAGAGAGACTGGCGGAGGCCAGCGATACTTACCTGTGGCGCCATCGCTCCAGCTCCATCTTCGTGGTACCTGCATCAAGGCGCCAACTTCACAGGTTAGTACT